GAAGCACCAGGGGGGTGGCCCTGCGGGCCCGCCGCTGCCCCAACGGGAGCGCCAGCGGCGGCCCGCCGCTCACGCCCGACTCGGGCAGAGGTGTGCACGCCCCGCTCGACAGGCCTGCCTGTCTGACGTTGCATCGTCTGGGGGGGGGCCCTGGCTGTCCCGTCGAGCCCCTGCCTGAAGGGACCCCAGGACACACAACTAAATACACACAAATAAAAATATTCCCCATATCTTCCCATGTTTTCTGGGTCTCTGTCTTGCCTCCCACTTCCTATATTTTCCCATACTTTCTTGGAATCGACGATTCGATTAATTGTGTCTGTGTGTTTTTTCCCCTCCTTACTATCAACGTCGAGGATCCGTGTCGAACCCGTGTCGGGCTCGTCGGGCCCGCGTCGAGTCCGTGCCGAGTCCGTCCCAGATCCACGTCGAGTGCGGCAGCAAGCCCGCGTCGGGCACAGGAAAGGACGCCACTTCTGGGGACGCACGAAGTCCCTTGAAGATGCCACGTCACCTGCACAACAAGAATATCTCTTCCCGGAGGGCGGCCCCTGCCGAGCCGTCACGCAGAGCGGCTCCCGGGAGCGGCCGAGAACAAGAGTACCGCCGCCGAAGGCACGTGCCCACCGCCCGGCCGCGACGCACAGCGCGGCAAGCACGGAGGAGCGCGGCACGGAACGACACGGCTCGTCCCAGGCATGCCCGGATCCAAGATGGGAGGAAGAGCACGATCAGGGAGACGTAAGGCTCGGGTACGGGGGACTCGGCTTGGCCTGACGGGGGCCATCCTAAAAAGGCCGAGGCCCCATCTGGAATTCGACGCGGGCTCCCGCTGCAGACATCCCGCGAACACTGGCCCGTCAAAATCCAGGACGCGCTCGTCAAAAAGCAAAGGCGAGCCCGAGCTCCATCTTACTCGAGCCTTACGTTTTCCCGACACGATGCACCTGCACCGATCCTCGCCAGGCTCATCCTCGCGCCAGGACCGGTGCGCACGCAGCCGTGGCTTGACCCCGGAGGCATATGCGCAGATCCTGGGCCAAGGGTGGGCCTGGCCAGGACAGGTGCATGTGCACAGCTCTCCTCGCCCGACAAGGCGGGACACTCTGGGTGAAGCAGAGTTGATCGCCACCGCCTTCCGCGGAGCTTCCGCCAGCAGACCCGCCGCCATGTCACTTCCGCCGCCCTCCGCCCACCTCCCACCACCTCCCGCCGCAGAAGAGGCGTCAACCCCGCCGATCCCTCGAAGGCGGGGCCCTCTCTGGAACACCTTTCAGGTAGCTTCGCGCCGTGCCGACCCCGGCGCTGGTTCCTGACACCGCGGGGATCGTTCAAGACTTGAACGCTCGGCCGTTCCCGAAACGCCAGATCGTGCAACGATGGGCCGACTCGGGGCCACGGGCGGCGCTCAGCCTTACACTCTCGCGCTGGGGCCGCCGCCGGTCGACGCGGCGCGAACCTAACGCGTGTGCCAACACACACACACACACACACACCCGACAATGTCTTTGTTGCGGAGTCCGCGGCCGCAGACCTCCCAACCCCTTCCCCAGGGCTGGCTGCGGCGGCGAGCGAGGGGGGGAAGTGAGAGGGAGAAGGCCTTCTCAGAGGGCGGGCGGGACTTCTCAGAGGCCCTCGCGCCTTCTGAGAGGCTTCCTGCGTCTCCGGGGAGGGCGCCTCGAGAAAACTTTCCGGAAGGCCAGGGGGCACCCGAGCCTTCTGAAAAGGCCTGCCCCTTCTCGCTTCCCTAGAAGGGGAAAAAGCGCCATAAACATAAACTTGTGGCGCTCCGCGCGGATTTCTTGGATCTGCGCTGGACCCCTCCTCCCTGGCGCGCGTGGAGCGCGCCAGGGGCGGCGCCAGAGGCGCCGCTAGGGGGGTCCCAGCGCGGATCCGAGAAATCCGCGCGGAGTGCCCAAAAAGTATATTTTTCTGAGCTTTTTCTTCTTCGCCCCCCCCCCCCCCCGCCTCGCTCGCCGCCGATGGCGTCCCGCCTGAAGTCCTGTCCTGATGCCCTCCCGTCGGCGGTGGACAAACCTCCCTTTAGCAAACCTCCCCTGTGACAACGGCCTGGGACCCAAACCGACTGACCTGGACCCGCAAAAACGACGGCCGCGACGCCCTCTCACGAACCGAAAACGGCCGATTCCTTAATCGACGTGTCAGGGTAGGCGGTCTATCCTCCTACCCTCCTCCTCCTCCTCCTCCTCCTCCTCCTCCTCCTCCTTCTCCTTCTCCTCCCCCTCCTCCTCCGCCTCCTCCTCCTCCTCCTCCTCCTCCTCCGATCTCATCACCCGGAAGCAGCCCCCCTGCGGAGGCCGCCAGGCACGCGCAGCGCGGCACGACGAGGCGAGCACGGCGCGGCGCGCGCACCAGCCGCAGCGCGGCGCGAGCCGCACCGCACCGGCCGCATCGGAACGGGCCCGCTGCGGGTGGGGGAACCGCACCAAGGCCAGCGGACCCCCCTCTCGCCAGACCCACCTTCGAGTCAGGACGACAC